CTTCACTCTGTTTTCTCGGATCGTACCCGCAGGATAAACGCTGGCCAGGACTGCAGCAACGCGGCCAAGTAACATACACCACCATCGTAGGTCCTCTGGCACGAGCTGCAGCATCCGGCGGTAGAAGTCCTGTTCCGTTGGACTGATAGAACCGTAGCCACCGTAGCGCTCGCAAAGGAAGACAGCAAGCTTTGCGCGGTCCTCGTGAGTCAATCCATGTGCAGAAGAGAACAACCCTGTCGTAGTACTTCGGAGCGCTGCTCCAGCTTGGAGATCCTTAACTTGCCCCATGTGTGCAAACATAGCACGCCCGAAGGCTCTCTGCATCTCGTAGTCGAACAGTTCATGACGAGACGCTGTTGGCGGAGGGTTACTGACGTTTTGCAACATTGCCGTAAACTCCCCGCATGATGGTTTAGCGTACTTCATCGTGGCTTCGAACAACGGACTGGGCGTAAGCCACATCTCTGAGAAGTACATGCCTTCCCTCACACCGCCTTGGCAGAAATACACATCTTTGATGCTCGGCAGTGCTTTGGACAGACAGTTCACCAGGAAAGCAACTGCTGGAACCTGACTTGCTCTACGGACCGATACCCGAAAGATGTCGGGTGTATCCTCTCTTTGCACCGCTGCTTGTACAGCCTGGGTGTCGTGAAATGCGTCCTTGGTCGTCCGGAACCCATTGATGATGGGTATGGGATATGGCTGAATCGCATGCTCCGACATGAGTACAAAACCCCAGCCTCGGAAGCCGCCTCCAGACAGATAGAGCGAGAGACCTTCGGGTGACTGTGAACGGTCAAGCAACTGTTGTGGTATCTCTATGTCTTGCACTGCAGCTTTGAGGTCCGCAATGACTTGGCTTTCAAATGTCCGGAACGCACCGCTATCAGGAGAGCCTGCTTCTTCGAGCCGTTTCGCGAGGGCAGCCGCGCCGTATGGTAGGCTTGCGCTTCCTTTCTCGCATGTGTCAATCTGGCCGTGCTGTGACGGGATCATCCAGTTGATCTGTGTGGAGCCTCCACCAAGGTCCATCATCAGTCCAATTGGGTTATGATAGGAGCTCGCTACACCGAAAGCTCCAATCCGGCCTTCCATTTCCTTCGACAAGAGTCGGACAGTCCAGCCAGTAGCATCTTTGATCTTGGACTGAAAATCTTCAGAGTTGCTGGCTTTCCGAGTAGCTTCAGTAGCTACAATCTGAATCTGCCCCTCGGGTACCCCAAAATCTTCACATGTGTCCTTAAAACGCAATAGTGACTTGACCACTTGCTTGATAGTCGGTTCTGGTATGGGCACAACCTGGCCATTTTCGTACTGCGCATCGTACAGCGAAATCGCTGCCCGATCCAGGTACACAGTCGGCAACAGCCTGGCCGTCGCTGGCGCCAGGTCGGTGATCGAAAAGCGGATCCCATTGCTCCCCATGTCAACCAACCCATGGAGGTGTCTTGACTCGTCTGTCGTGACCATTTTGGTAGTGCAGGTTCCCCGGATTTGCGATTGGTGCCCCAGATGTCAGCCAAGAGGTAAGCGGAAGAAACGGTGCGAACCGTGGAATTTTGATGGCGTGATTAACGCGGTTCCAGTTCGAGACTTAGTTTCTCTTACCCCCAGGAAACTCCTTAGCGGCGCTGTTGTGTCCCGCCTTATGCAAGAGTGATATTGATTACCCCCAGCTTTCGGAAGGTGGTTTCTATTACCCCCAGATTACTTGAGAGGTTGTTACAGCAGTGTCTTGTGATGTGAAGTATTTTCTGGGCTGACTTTCTGTGTTCGCGATGACGTTGCGGGGGTCCCCACTACGTGCATGGAGGGAGTTATGACGCTAGCAATCGCGACCAATCATGCGAGGGGTAGGACAGAGACTTTGGCAGGAACGTTCGATGACTGCGGCCGCGACGACGGTAGAAGGCGCTGTGGAGATACAGGTTGCGGTATCGGTCTTGTCACCTAAGCGCCGAGCAGTGTGGTCGAACGTATCGCTCCTGCTGTTCGTAAGAGTCCGTCAATTTTTAGAAGGAAAAGTAATTCGATATCGAACGAAAATCAACAACAATCTGGTCAGCCATAGACTCAGTCGACCAAATAGTGACGGAACACCAAGATATAGCGTGGAAGAGATAGAGTTGACTGCCTGTTCCGCATTGCAGAAGGGCGTGAGAGTGCTCAAAGGGCGCTGTGAGGGCTGAAAGACGGCAAACAGCATCTTCAAAGTCGGAAGCGAATCATGCTTTGTATGGCCAACTCTTCCGCATCCAGTGTCCGATCAAGTTGACTTCGTGGATGGCTGAGCAGACCGCGACGGCCGGAGCATGCGATAGCAGTCGACAAGAAATTGCCGTTCGAAGAAAAGAACGTGCAAGACATAAACACCACCCACTGCGCCCATACTGACCAGCTCTCCAAGTACTCCAAACCGTCCAAGGAAGCTGATTGCAGGCTTCGTTCGCATCAGGGTAGGTATAACAGCCGCGGGTGCCACAGCAGCAAGTGAGGGCAACGTCTCGAGTACATTGAACTCCGACCCGTTCCTCGCAAAGAACCTCCCAATGAACCAGGTATTCCAGACGATGCGCAAGCCCATATTAACCGTGTTTGCGAGAACTACGCCGTTGCCTCCCATTCCGAGCTGCCCGATGAAGAACCATGCACTACCCGCGAAGAGCGCAAAGAAGATGCCCATGGAAATGGACTGTGCGTATAGCTCTTTGTTGGTCGCCACTGCGGCTACGAAAGCCTCCGTGACTCCGTTGATGGCGAGGAAGGGTATGTAGTAGCAATACGTGGAGAGTACCTGCGAAGCAGAGGTTGCAGACCACTTTTGCCCGGCAACGATTGAGAGAAGTACTGGGGCTAGTACAGGTCCTAGGGTGACCGCGAGCAACGAGATGATTCCGTAGAGTCGAAGAATGGTACTCAATACCCTAGAAGCTTGAGCAAGGTTTTGCTTTTGTTCGTCCGGCTTCTTTAGATCCTTCTTTTCTGTTGACGACGATGTTTCTACATTGGCGCATAGCTTGGCGAACATGTTGCGACTACTCTCTTCAATGGGTTGGAAAAGCATGCGTGCAATAAGACCTCCATAGTTTGAAGCGAGCGCATAGGCGCCTTGATCTGCGAGAGATGCCAGTGTTGTAATGAGCAGAGAGTCTCCCTGGGTGAGAACGTACTTCAACGCCGACTGCAGACTAAGAGATGCAGTCAGTCGCAGCAGAGGAGCTGAGAAGTAATTCATCAATGTCGGGTTTTCCTGAGTAGATGGTACTCTCTCTGGAAACAGCGAAAAGCCATCAGTCTTCGCAACAGGCCACGTTTTGTACGAGTATACAACAAGCAAAGCCAATGCATACGCCAGCTGCCCGATAGCGAATGGCAAGACCCCAATGTCCAGGCCAGCTCGACTAGCCAAGATAGCTGAGCCGCATGTACCAACGCAGCGCAGCAAAGTAGCTGAACTCTCAGCCGACGCTCGAACCTTGTAAAGTAGCTTCTGCTGCACAGCAGAAAATGCCGGCTCGCTCAGCAGTTCCAAGAAGGTGGCTAGGCAATACACAACCAGGGCCTCGATAAAGTATGGAACGTTTGGCGTATCGGAACGCATCCATAGTAGCGCGAGAAGATACGCCAGAGGCGTGCCGAAAAAGACAGCGAGATACGAAAGGTTGACGACAGCCTGCGTCCCATGGGCCTGACGCTGCAGCGCCACACGCAGACTCTCGCGGGCAAAATACAACACAGAGATGGAAAACAGCTCCAGCTGCGCCGACACGCCCAATAGCTCTGGTGATAGGAACCTCAACAGAACCTGATTGACAGCAAACGTCAGCGCCCGCGAAGCCACCTGCAGGAGGATGAGAAAGGTGGCTCCCTTCGCGGAAGCGGAAAGTATTGAATTCGACATGGTAAAGGCTGGAAGTGACCGGAAACGACGAAGAAGCTTTGGGAATGATGTAAAGCGCTCTTCAGAACGCCATCTTGATTGGTTGTGTGGTTGTATGCGGTGTGTTTGAACAGCTGGAGTTTTGGAGATGGGCGTTACATGTCTGTAAAGGGAATAGCTCTTGACGCGTGCTGCAAGGCACAAGCGCAGGCCACAGCGACAGCGACAGCTTGATGACATGACACACGACACAATGTAAGTCTTAATCAGCGCACAGTACAGCCGCAATGGCTCGATATTACTTTCTCGTTCCGCACGCTCGCGACGATGGTGGTGGTTGACCCGCAGATATTCGTGAGGACCGAACGCCTGCTGCTGCGGCCGTTGCGCCTTGAAGATGCAGAGGACGTGTTATTGATGCGGAAGCACCCGGAGGTCATGAAGCATACGTCTCTTCTACCTTCAGATGACCTCGAAGGCGCGAAATCATGGATTCAAGGTGTAAGCCTACTGCCCTACATAATGCAACTGGACGTATGCTAACCGTCTGCAGTGTCACCAGGTTGAATGCAACTGGAACTTTGCAATCGTCCTCCTAGCGCCACACGAAGGCCCGCACGTCATCGGCTTGATAGGAGCAGTCCGCGCCCCAGAGATTGGCTACATGTTCAACGCCGAATACTGGGGACAGGGGTACGCTACCGAAGCGTTGGAGGCATTCATGCCCTTGTTCTTCGAGCACTACTCGGGCCGTGATATCGCGGACTATACGTCGGAAGACTACGGACAAGGCACATACAATGGGAATACGAACAATGGGCAGGTAGAGGGAGATGTGAGGAACAACAGGAACAGGCTAGCACCGAGGTACGACTTCGCGGAGGCACATACAGATACCGAGCTGGCAGCTAGTCAGAATGTCTTGACAAAGGTTGGCTTCAAGCTACATGAGAAGAGGGAGGACGACTTTGACAACCCTGTTCTGGGCATGAGGTCGACTTATATCTACAGGATGTATAGAGCTGCCGCTGAAGCGAAGCCTCCTAGGTAGACCCGGAAGGGCTGAATATCTAGACAAGCTACCTACGCGCATACCATGTGTTCGTCTGTGGCATCACCAAAGCACTTTGACTCTTGTGTGCTCCCACCCATCTCCCGTCTTGTCTCGAAACCGTTCTGCAACTTCAAAAGCTGTAGTATCTGATTCTTTGATGCCCTTTCTTTTCTTGGTCCGTTCCATATCACTGTCACTGGATTCGTCGTCGCTAGACGGAATCACGATGTTCCCTAACATCTTCCGTAGCCTTGGGTCATCTTCGATTTCGGGACCAGCATCGCTATGTTCTTCTGCTGCGATCTCGGGATCGTCGGTTTGATGAGTAACGTGCTTCTCGGTATAGACTTGGGCGAAGTAATCTACAGCTGGTGTGGTCTCAGGCGGCGCAATGGGCTGCGTATATGAGATAGAAGCGGATTGTGATGTGGAGCCAGTATACTTGTGGCGCCAGTGAGGTATCTTCCACGTCGGCTGTTGGTGACGTACATTGTCTGGCGTCTCCGGCATATCGTCGAAATAGTCCCGTGTGACGATGAGATCTCCTCGTCCGCAGGCACGCATCATGCCCTCCTCGGAGGAAGCGGGGCCCCAGTTGGAACTCGATGTGACAGAGGTGCGTCTTACCTCAGGGATTTGGAAGGTGTAGGTAAGAACACTGCCAATCGACGGGTCCGAGGGGTGGCGTTTCCCGTCATGTGGGCTTTCGACGGGTACCTCCTCTTCTTCTTCTATGTATGCTTCTACTGCGATGCACAGAGCAGACTGGGTATGCCGGAGACGATGTAACGAGGGAATACGTTGAACGGGCTGGGAACTAACTCTTTGGCCTTCCGCGCGATTGTCCGGCTTGTCCTCAAATTGTGTTCGTTTCTGCTTCTTTTGTTTCGAAGTCGTGCGACTAAAGAATATGGTGTCATGTTTCCGCCGATAGTTCTTTGGTACTGCTGCCTGGCATATCAGTTTGGAGAAAAACCCAGGTTCGGATGAGGAGCTGGAGCTTTCTCGTGATAAGGTGCTCCGTGAGTCTTCACGTGTGGTTACCGCTGGCGGCCCGTCTGTCCATCCGCTCGCGGCGAAGTGTGGTATATAATCGCCACTCTGCTTGCGCAGCTTGCGCCTCTGACTAACGTGTTGTGCCAGCTTCTCTTCGGTCGAAGGCCCCGTATAAAGCCCAGGCCAAGACTCAGTCTCGGAAGGTGGGCGGGCTTGGTGACCGGCGGCTGGAGAATACCGGTGATGAGAATGTGAGCGCAGGGCTGTCACGAATCTTCTCTCCTTGCGCTGCTGGAACAATGGAATATGATTTGCGCTCGAAGGGGGTGAGAGGGTATAGCAGGCTGCTAGCAACTGCAAAGCGATGAGTTGGAGGATCGTCTCGCAGGCGACAATGTTACTTGGAGAGACGTCTGTCATGATTTTGTCGTCATGAAGTTGTTCGAGTAGTTGGTTTGCAGTCGGAAGTGTCTGTACCTGTCAGTTCGAAGAGCAGCGCCCTTGGCTCATAGCTGCTAACGCGATGAGGCTGCCGCGCCCGAGGCGCCCAGAACTCATCACATTCTTGTGACTGCATCCAGTCTCCGATCTCTCTTGTGATTCTTGCTTCTGATTTTGCAGATGGGATGCTGTCGTTCAGTGTGTCTTGAGCGTAGTCGTCATTGAGCCGGGTGACGTATCCACCATCTTTACCAAACAGCCAGTGTAGGGACGTGTCGGTGATGTCTAGAGGCTGTTCTGGAATGAGGCAGACACTCAGTCTGTCTAGTTTTCGCTGCATCGGAATGGGTAAAGGTAGAGTATGCGTAGGGAGCAGGATGATAGATCAGGTATGAGATAATAGAATGTGGAGGAGACGTGACCTAATAGTCCATTGGAAGCCCGTCTGAAGAGGTAGCCATGTGCGGTCTAGAACAAAGGTGCCTCGAGCTTGCCTTTTGGTGGCAGGTACACTGATGGACGACGTGGAAGGTGCATTTAAGTAGGCCTTACGTGGTGACAGGACCTCACTCTTGCAGATACTGCAGCATACCGCTTTATCTTACTACGCTTAGAATCCATCCAGCCATCTCTTGTCGTCGGTATGCGTTTTTAGACATCCTTTCCCACTCGCAAGGGTGCTTCGCGGTTCGTTCGAGTGAGGTAGCACGTGGTGGTCCTGCCTTCTTCGGCTGTTTCCAAAGATTTTTCGCATGCACCTCACGTACCGCCCATGACCGAGTCGCTTTGTTCCTGCGAAGTGCCAGTTATTGCATTGACAGAGCCAGTCGTTACCTTTTCTGCCACTAGACGCGAGCCCTCTGACGTCTTCGAGATGGCCAGGCGCGACTTCTCTCCTCTCTTTGCTTTGGCATCATTCAACCTGTCAAGGAAGCTCGACGAAGCAGATGAGGCCTCTTTGTTGCCGGAAGGGAGTGCGTCTGACATGTTGTTTGGGCTCGTTGTAGCGCCCTGGTTGCCGTCTGGAGCAGGCGCAACCTCTGTTGCCTGTTGTGTACTACTAGCGTCGCTGAAGAGATCCTCGCGCGGTCGCAGACGTCCAACTTTGGCTACCAGCTTTGCGGAACCCAGAGCCAATAAGTCAACCGACGGTAGAGATCGCAGTGTTTCTGACTGGGTGGAAGAGTTCGCATTCGGCTTCACGAAGAACATGTCGGTTCCGACAGTCGACGTCCAATGGCAACTCAGCAACTGGCCGTTGTACATGACCAGTGGGTTTGGCGTATGTAGGCCAATTATTTGGACTTCGCCCATGGTTGCCGTCTCTTGTCCATCGTTGCTGTCGGCGGCGAACTCGGCTGGTTGAGCTCGAGCGGCATTCAGTGCGCGCAATCGGCTCTTGAGCAGAGTCGGATGACCTGGTCTACCCTGCGAGACCATGGGTATTTGCGCTGCAGGGACATTAGACAAATCGAGCGGGATGTAGAAATCTTCTGTCGCGTTCTCGTCGTATTCGTACTCCCACTCATCCTCCTCAGGCGCGGCCATGATTAGCGGCGTTGTTGTGCGTTGGCGCAGGTTGAAGGATTGTGAAGCTAGCGGTGGTGGGGCCAGGTGATAGAAGAGTGTACCTAGATAGTTTAGCCGCTAACTAGAGGGGTTCGATTTGCACGGAAGCATTAAAGCTGGAGATAATCATTGGAATATATCCGCTTTTGTTGCGCATTTCCCCATCGAAAAACCAAGCACGACTTCGTTTGAAGTATTCTCCCCGTAGCTCAGTTGGTTTAGAGCGTCTGACTGTAATATCTGCTGTTATCAGAAGGTCCCTTGTTCGACTCATGGTGGGGAGATCGTTCTTTTTTTGCTTTCTGCCGCGAATGTGGCGGAGACTACTTCTTTTGCCAGTGTGATCACGGCGCTGGGTTCGGGAGTTGTCTTTTTGCGCATTGTAGCAGGTTCAGAAGGCAACACTGGTCGGACACAGCTCTCTGCGCCACCCTTCATCTGAAGACTGAACCCTAGATCCGCCATAGAGTGGCAGGGACATGCAACTAGCCACAGCTAAGGCTAACCTCCCTGCTCCCCATGTTTGTGGGTGTGCGATTGCTGCAGGCCGTGCCTGGAAGCCAAGTTGCGAGCCGCATGGCTGCCGAGGTCCCCGCGGCGTCTGGAACCAGGGATGACGACGTGTGCCCAGCCGGCAGCTGTGCAACATGCATCAAACACCAAACGTACGCGCCACCTCGATGCCAACTACTGTCGCGCTGCCTGTTCCATTGTCGCACTGAGTGTTTGCTCACATTGACAATCCGACATCTCTCAAGCCGGGTTCTAGCACGCAATCGGCTGGCCACGGCCGTCTACTCGCATCAGTAAGTGTGCTTCCGCCCATGTCCGGCCAGCTTAGAGCATTCCAAGTCATCATGACCTTTCCGTTACCTCCGCGCCCTCCCCGCTTTTCCCTACACCATTAGCTCGATTCAAGCCTCTTTGGACTGTGCGATGGCCGCTCTGCTGTCGATCAAGCCAGTCGTGCCCTGCACTTGCCATGTCCGGCATCACATAGCTCTGTCGACTATCGGATCTTGAGCCACGCCTGCCGTTTTGTCAGCGATCCGGCAGTATCGGCTTCAGATCTTTCCTACCTCGAGCCAAATGTCTCCTACTTTGCCTGTTCGAGCTTGTGAACAGAAGCTAACCAGTCAGTGCCCATCGTCCCATACCTCCAGCATGGCGGAGGGCAGGTCCCACTCCAGGCGGTCCTTCCGTCATCGCTTCCGTCTTCATCCATACCTTCAATAGATGTACCTGAGTACACTCCGATAGCAACATACTCTCCCGATCCTCCGACCGAAGCCCCAGACGCTGCGCAGGACGCTCCTCACTCCCACTTCCTCCCTACCATCGATATTCCTACGCAGCATTCTTCCCAAACGAAACCATCTGAACAGGCTACTACATCTCTCGCTGGTACCGACGACTCGTTGACCGAGGACGACGCTCAGATGAAGGGCAGGAAACCCGCCATCGCTGCTGCGGGTACCTTCTTCGGCTTGTTCTCGTTCTCGCAACTATACCAAAACGTTCTTTTCGAAAGCTTGACCCCCTCGAGCGAACGCGCAGACGAAGCAGCCTGGGTCGCGTCGTCACAATCATGGGTAGACCGGAAGGCTTGCAATTGGTTCGGCATGTGTGGCCTGGCGCATCTGAACAAGGCGCAATGGACTACACAGACTGTGAAAGCTCAGAGCCAAAGGACAACAGAAAACGGAAACGAAGCCAAGATTAACTTGACCGACTTCTGGAATGACGCGCGAAACATTCCAGCTGATTACAAACCGTCGGAGCAACTCGAGATACCGCAATACGTGATAGACCACGCGCCGCTCATCCACCTCTTCTCGGGAGAAGAGTACTGGCCAGGCGACATGGCAGAACACTTGATACACACAACACCGCATCTGAACTATACGCCTCTGCAAGCATCTAGCGACCACCCGAACATTAGTGATCTTGGTGACCTTAACAAGTGGGGACGGTTCGTGTACCTCCAGAGCGATGACAACGTCGAGGACCGCCCGTCCTGGCTGGGTGCGGATTACAACATACCCAACGCGCCGAATGATGGAAATGACGACGAAGACGATGACGACAAAGAGTATCACAAAGTGCCTGGACACCTCACGGAGGACAAGAATGGCGAAAAGTCAAGCTGGTGGCATGTCGGTGCTGGCGATACTAGGGATCGAGGTGGCATCCGGCCAGATCCCACAGCTTCCGGTCTACCAGTGCCTTCGGAATTGCCCGAAGGCGAAGAGCTCATTGATGACGATGATAAACACTGGCGATCAGAGCTGCGTTATGCTCGACGCAGCTTCACTGGCAAGAAAGTCGTCGGTGGTCGAAGTGATGCACCTGTGCCGTTGGTTGTTGTAGACAAGGGCGATGGTGTGGTGGACGCTTTCTGGTTTTTCTTCTACAGCTACAATCTTGGTAACGCTGTCTTCAACATTCGTTTCGGCAATCACGTTGGCGACTGGGAACATACTGTGGTCAGGTTCCAGCATGGCGAGCCCAAAGCGGTGTTCTTTAGTGAACACAGCTTTGGAGAAGCGTACACCTGGGACGCTGTAGAGAAGAGTGGACAGAGGGTAAGTTCAATGTCTCAACACCGTAAGCGACACTAACATATCTAGCCCATTGGCTTTTCTGCTACCGGTACCCACGCCATGTACGCTACGGAAGGTGTACATCCATACGTCTTGCCTGGTGGCATTCTCCACGACGTAACGGATCGGGGCCCTCTCTGGGATCCTGTCATGAACATGTATTCATACAAGTACGACTACCGGTCCGACCGCCTTGTCGCGTCGAACCTCAACCCGCGCGCACCTACCTCATGGTTCTACTTTGGTGGCCACTGGGGCGATAAGTTCTACCCACTTAGCGACCCTCGACAATACCGCTTCTTGGGCCAGTACCATTACGTCAATGGACCACTTGGCCCCCGCTTCAAGAATCTAGGGCGGCAAGAAATTTGTCAGGGCAACGGGGAATGTGTGCTTAAGGGACGTCCTGGAGAGAAATCTAGGATCACAAAGAGGTGGGTGAACATCGGCGAGGGCGAAGAGATGAATGAGGAAGACGCAAAACGCGTCTTCGGCACAGAGTAAGATTCCGCGTCTTGAAGATGCGATGACGAGGATATGACATTATTGATAGCGACCTTTTGTTGACACTCATTGTATAGCTGCACGGCGTTTGTGGCATCTGTACTATACCTGAATAGCGTCGTTCGATACCTACGTAACACCGCATCCGTGTTTGTTCATTTTACAGAATTTTCCTCTCGTGTTGGCAGTGGAACTGCGTGACTCAATAGGCAAGTCGTCTCGCGACAGAATCTGCAGAGACGTGTTCCTTGTCATGCTTGGAGTACATTCACTTGTACTGCTGCGTTGGGTAAGTCTAGCGGGCGAAAGCGGGCGACAATCGCCGAATCGGGGCGATGATCGGAGGGGACAACATTCGGGGCACGACTGACTTGACGCAACATGTTCGCAGCATTTTCGGGGGATAGAATGTATGTGGTGCTTCATAATGGAGGGAGTCTGGCTCGGGCCTTGACGAAGGTTTTTCGGGATCAAGTCATGTTCGTGATGAGAATAGCTTGCGACTGCACCTGGCCCGGTGCCGCACGCAGATCTGACAGTCTTCTAGCGTAAGGGGTGGAGGTTGCGAATCCATGAGCGAATATCGCATGCACGATTGCGTGACTGGGCGACGGCTAGAAAACGTCGCTGGCCCTTCTTCGGTTTCGCAGAGTCAGAGGGCAGGAAACATGGCGCGAATCAGTAATCGTTGGCTCATCACATCATCATCAGAGGGTGCGGCGTGTGTAGTTGGCATTTGTGGGACGCCGCGGGGGTGCTCTAGCTGCTAAAGCGGGCCTCGCTGGTTATCTCTTATCAGGGAAGTTCACCTCAGGGTCGCTGAGCACGCATCTCTATTCTTGTAACCCTCGCCGCATGCTCGACGCAGGTCAGCCTCCCTTTCACATCTCTGCCGCCTTACAAGGACGCAGCCTCTCCTATATCGCCTGTTTCCCGCGTGTTTCATTTATCTCTGGCAGACTCGTCACATCTTGTTTTACCGCACTTGCGCCTGATCACCCGCCGCCTGCAGTAGTAGCGTGTCCCTAGCGCACGACATACTGGGCATCATACACTCATCCCCTCCCACCGCTAGAAAGTAGTGGTAAACGTCGCAACGAGGCATGAGGCCAACACGACGATAAGGAACACACCGCCCCCAACGCGACGCGTTGAGACTATTCCATAACCTCACAATTTATCCTATCTGCCCGACGTCCACGTGCCTTGCCCGAGCACTTGACTCCTCCATCGCCACTACCGTATACGTCGCGGCACACTTCAGAATACTACACGATGGCTTTCATACAGCAGCACAGACCGCAGCCCGGAAGGCAGATATCCTACCAAGCACCAGAACCCGCGACCGAACCCGCAACTACCTCATTGCAAGCCAACAGACCTCTTGATCAATCGGAGGAATGGGTCCTCTTCTCGCCGACCGCGCCTTCTGCTACCACTCGCACACACACCACCTCGACCGACCGAACTCCACGGACAGCTGGTCTGTCACGCTTCAGCGAGTTTGGCTCGCTTGAGACTGCTGCGCGGTCCGAACAAGACGATGGTGCTGGCTCATTTCTTGGGACGGAAGAGGAGCTGGATAGTCTAGATGATGGCCTACACGCGTTCCATGAGCCATCGGAATATGGTGCGCCAGTAGGCAGGCTGCAAGAGAGCGGTGATACTGTGTTACCAACCCATGACGGACTGGGCGAGTTCAAGCCGAATGCGACGATGCAGGAACATATGTGGCAGTTCGAGCGACAAAAGCGACGAGCACCCAGGCGGCGATCCAGCGTGCAACGGCACCTGTCAGTCCTCGACGATCATGAGGACACGAACACGGAACACGAGAAGCGACAGCGCATTGAGAGGTGGAGGCTTGAGCAAAGCAAAGCATTACTAGAAGAGATTGAAAAAGAGACAAGGCGGAGGCGGCGAATGAGCATGGTCAGTACGGGAGCGAGTCGGACTGATGCGCAAAAGGAGGTGGGCACAAAACCGCCTACAGCTCAGTCTGTTTCGGACGTGCAGAGCGAATCTTCCGAAGAAGGCACAGAGAACCTATCATTATGGCAACGGATAACGAGGCGGGTGATCAGGGATCTGATCGGTCTGGACGAAGACACACTCTCAGTCATTTTCGGAGAGTCTTTACCTGATGAGGCCGCCACACCTACGCCTGGAACGCCTGCCGAGTTCTCAGCAGACAAAGCTCTGCAAGACGCAGGTATCGACGCGTCCCGGTATTCAGATGATACCTGGCAAACGAAGCTGCTCGAGAGGGTAGCTCAAGAGCTGGGAACGTTGGTCAACCAGCTCTCTGAGCACCCAGGAGCTTTCTCTACATACCAACGAACACAATCAGTACCAGACTACGCGGGTCTCACACCAGTATTATCAAACACGACAGTCGTATCTGAACCCCTATCTTCGAAAACCGCAAGCTCGCAACCTACCACATCTCCCGCCTCAGCTCAATTCGCACCCACCTTTCCCGCGCAAACCTCACACACCTACAGCGAAGCATCATTATGGGGTATCGAAGAAGAACCTACCGAGACCGAAGCCGCAACCTCATCCCACATCCCTCCTGCCTCCACCACAAACATCGCCGACGAGTTAGCACGAGAGCGCGAGTATTGGGAACGCGACATCGACGTCAAAATGATCTTCAACTTTCTCATGAAACGCTTCTCCTCACGACGTCCCAGCATTCCCTCGTCTTCGCATCCCATCCCTCCACCACAACCACTCCGTACCGCCAGTGCTCCTTCCACAACCACAAACGACAACCTCAGCTCCGCCCGCCGAGCAGCCATCATCCGCCAACATCACCCTTTGGTAAACCGGACGACGACCGATAGCAGACTCCCCACGTCGTCCGTGTCTCACCCGAGGGAGTCACGGCGCTTTGCTACATACTACGCGCCCCCGACCGGTGGCAGCAAGACTAAACTCAGGAGTAGCTCTAGTTGCGCCAGTCAGAGTACCAAGAAGAGTAAGAGAAGCGGTGGGTCATCGAGAAACTACTGGGATCTTGGTGGTAGTGTGGGTAGCGGGAGTGTTGTTGGTGGCTGAGGTGAGATGGAAGATGAGATGAGACGAGACATGGATGGATGATTACGATTATTACCCTTTTGGCATTAGAATACCTTTATGAGCATGGCAGTTGCAAGAGCATAGATTACTGGAGTCGGATTGGATAGCCCTTTTTACATGGCTAGTGTCGCTGCTGGATAGAGCGGCGAAGGAACGGTTTCTACTCTCTCACCTTGGCTATAAATCAGAATACCACTGTTTAGATCCTTTTCAGCTCAATTGTATAAATATACCCTTACTCACTATTCTTGCCTTGGAAGCGGTCTTCGAAACCCTAGTACCAATGTGGGCTTCAAGACCCTATACTATCACAGACGATGTGATGGTTAGATTCCATTGTAGCAGGCAACATGGTCAGATGTCCCTTGAATGACGAGATCCAATCACCATGTCGTACATAACTTCACATCACGGCAACACTAAGACATGAGTATGTCGGTATAGCACCATGCTATCCGCGCCAGAGTCAAAGACCCCAACGCAGACTCGCTGGCACTTGATTGATTCTCCCTAGGTCCCATCCTCCCCAACCACTACCAACTTCGCGAACTAGCGCGCGAAACCGACCTCACGTACGTGTTGACAACGTACTGCGGTCCAACAATTGTTGAAGCTCTGTATATCTACAGCCTGCCCTAGGCCGATCTAGATGAAAAGGAAATCCGCATAGGAAACTTTTGGAAAGTACAAACGGGCTGGTATCATGTGGGTATAGTTGTAATGCCCTGTGGACGCCGTTGAAACACTTGTTGAAAAGGCTCATTTACCCGCCTCCCAAAGATATGCAAATCTTTCTCACTCACTGACTGCGCGACTGACGCATTTGTCGTCGCGTTTATTAACTTTGAAAACGGTTGGGCTGAAGTTGATTCAAGCCCACCTTTATATCTTAATCAAGGCGTTAGAATTAGAACTTGAGCTCCTTGGGCTTCTCCCATGTGAAGTCCTGGTTGGTGAAGTGACCGTTCTTGGCGGTCTGGAAGTAGATGGGGTTGATGAGGTTGAGCTCCTTGACGATGACACCGGGGCGGAGGTCGAAGTTGTTCTTGACAATCTCGACGAGCTCGTCGGAGGAGCGCTCCGAGGTGCCGTATGTCTCGACGAAGAGGGAGAGGGGCTCGGCGACACCGATGGCGTAGGACAGCTGCACGAGTGCGCGGCGAGCGAGCTTGGCCTGGACGAGGGACTTGGCGATCCAGCGCGCAAGGTACGCGGCGGAACGGTCGACCTTGGAGTAGTCCTTTCCGGAGAAAGCACCACCTCCGTGGGCACCCCAGCCACCGTAGGTGTCGACGATGATCTTACGTCCGGTAAGACCGGCGTCACCCTGGGGTCCACCGATGATGAAGAGACCGGAGGGTTGGATCTGGCTATGTTAGTATGCTGGACGGACGTATTGAGGTTTGTGGACATACGTGGTAAACGGTCTTGTCATCGAGCATCTTCTCGGGGATGACCTTCTTGATGATCTTCTCCTTGATCTCCTCACGGAGCTTCTCGGTGGTAATGTCCTCGCTGTGCTGGGCAGACACGACGACGGTGTCAACGCGGAGAGGAACGACGGCACCGCCATCGTGGGCGTACTCAACGGTGACCTGAGTCTTGGTGTCGGGTCGCAGCCATGGCAGAGAGCCGTCCTTGCGGGCAGCGGTCATAGCCGAGTTCAGCTTGTGGGAGAGGAGGACGGTAAGAGGGAGGAGCTCGGGGGTCTCGTCGGTGGCATATCCGAACATGATACCCTGGTCTCCAGCACCGAGCTTCTCGAGAGCCTCCTCGTAGTGGAGACCCTGAGCAATGTCGGGCGACTGCTGCTCAATGGCAACGAGAACGTTGCATGTCTTGTAGTCGAAGCCCTTGTCGGAGCTGTCGTAGCCAATGTCCTTGATGGCACCACGGATGATCTTCTGGTAGTCGAG